AAAGTGACTTCAGCTAGGTTGTGTGTGTACAGATTGGCTCGCCTGTACACTGATACCATATACACGTGTGCAGGCGTGTGCCCCTCTGAGAGTATATGTGTGCAGCCTTGTATATGCGCTTGTGTGTTTGCACAGGATACAGTGGTGTTACTGCGGGTGGAAGGCACCCGGGACTGCTGCTGAGGCAATGTGTGGGATGGGAACAATAAGAGGGTGAAGAGTCACAAAGGGAGGCGAGAATGGAGAATCCAGCTGCTGTCCACTGTGGCCAAAATGCTGCGGAGAACCAGCTGAAAGGAAGAAGGTGAAAAAAAAGGACTTTGGTAGGACTGCTATATCAAAACAGGGAGAATATGACTAGGGAACATGAGATAGGACATAGAAGAAGAGGATTTATTAAAACCCTTGTGATGTCCACACTAACACACTTCATCACAGTACTGGATTGTGGTTGTTTGTATGTGAGAGAAGCCCCTTTTACATCAGCCAACTGTGACCCACCATCCTCCTTCCCACAGACAGCATGAGTGCAGCACGTTCGCTGAGAACTCTGACATCGACAATGAGTCACCGCCACTGACCTTTCTCATATGGTTTCTGAAGAAGCAGGGCTTTAATATTTATCAGTTTATAACAAGCATTATAAGTTCTTTGAGCAGTTTGTTATTTTCAGTGAAAGTCCTTTTATTCAAACGGTACCAGAGAGCACTCTGGGGCACAATTCTTAATTCACAGTTGCTCCATTTAGATATTTTTGAAACAACCAAGGGACCCTTTCCAGAGAACCTCAGGCTCATTGGGGTAGAGTTTCTCACATGCCACTGGAGTCAGAGTATACTGTGCTATTAAAATTACCCACAAAATGCTCTTTCACTGAGCTTCTCCATAAATTAGGGGACTCTTTAGCTCAGGTGGTAAAAGTGACCAGATCTTTGAAACAAAAGTTAGTCATCTTCTAAAAGTTTATCTGATGTTCACCAATCAGTTTGTGCTTATACTGAGCCAAAAAGATGATTATTGTCATCCTCTATTTATAAATGTAGCCATCCTGCCACTCTTCAGTACAATAAGGCCACTGTCTGAGCAGACCTCTCCACAGGAGCCAAGCCAGCTATAGAGAAGAACTTCACTGACCCAGCTTGGCAGAACCAGAGGCAGCCCCTGACATTTTACTGTGGAAACTTGGAGTGGGTGTGGGCCTCATCAGTGTGGAGACTCGCTGACTGTCGATTATTGCAAAGAAAATGTTCTAATTAGCGAGATGGTTTTAGCTGTGCCGTTTTACTCCGGGACAGTGAGCAGGCATCAGTGCTTCTGTCCAAACTTAAACATGCATTCTGATTTGTTCAGTGAAAATGAGGTCTTGTAGGTCTTGCCATGGACTGTTTCTTGTGTTTACTGTAACTTGTCATATTTGTTTAGGAAAGGCAAAGACTGAGTCTCTGGATGTAGCACGGTCTCAGATAACAACCGTTTCTTCTAGAGGCAGCATCCTATCGAACCAACATTTTATGCTGAATTTTTGTTCTCAAGTTGATAAAACAAAATGTTCTAACACTTAAAAGCTAAGGAAATGCCTTCATAAACAAAATGACCGTGGACATACTGTACACAGGATGCTGATCAGTGCAGACAGGAAAGTATTACTGGCACAGGTGCAGGGGGGGGTCAGTTTTGCTCAGGAAGGTAGAGGGCACTTGACGGATTTGTGGTCTTCTGCACATCCTGGAAATGGAAAGTCCCTTTGACTTCCCTGTCTGTATTTTTAGTTTTTATGGCCTTTGTTTATGTGTCATGTCAAAATCTCCTAAAAGAGAGGCAAACAGTGTTCTTGGTGCATTCTTTGCCAGAAAGATCTGAATGTAAAGTCTGCTAAATATTTTGTCTGTATTTTACTCTTGTCCAGCACTCAAATGTCTCTCACTTTTCCATCACTCATGTACCTGCATCACTGTTGTTCTTCTCCCTAATCTCTGTCTCTTTCCTTGATCAGTATTTCATCTAGCCTTTCCTCACTAATCTTGTGAAGCCATTTTATGAAGCCAGTTTTCAGTTGAAATGCTGTGCATCTTTCTCAGTTTTGCCCAAAAGCTGTGGTTTGCTATAAACAAAACCTCGAATACCACAGTCTGGCAGAAAGGAGGAAAATACTTGTAAATATAGAAGTCAGTGAATCACTGACAGTGGCATTCCAATATGAAGCCAAAAACTCTGCAGCCAGAATTCTAATGGATAATTACAACTAGGCTGCTAGTGTGGGCTAATGTTACAAGAGACTGTAAAACAGACAGTAATTCAGGCGACTGAAAGAGCAGTCCGGACATGAACTCTCTCCTAAAGGATGTGCAAATGTCATAAACTCTTCCATTGTTTCAGTGACATACAGTATTACTATCTTTGTCCTGTTATTCCCTCTCCTCCCATTCCTCCCAGTCTGCTGCTGCTTGTCTGGTAGCTCAAAGGTCAAATTGGCTGTTCTGTTGCACTTTTCCCCTGTAAAATAAACTTTTAGCTGTCATTGCACCTGGACTGAATTGGCATGTGGAGCTGAGTAGAGACAGATCACCATTCAGGTTGCAAAATCTGACATACTGGTTGAGCCAAGGGAGACAACGTGCTGACACGAGTCTGTGTCAGCTGGAAACAGCTGGCAGGGATTCGGTGTAACGTCAAATACGTATATGAGCTGCAGATTCTGTGCTTGACACAAGTCACTTAGCTGTGTGTAATTTGTCATAGCACAGCTTATGCAATGCTTGACATGCTGAATTACAGACATGTGAGTGCACATGTGCATTCAAACACTGTACACCTATATGCTCTCATGCTCATGCACACACAGTTCCAGGTGGTGGCATACACTGTGTAGCTGATTTACAGTGCACCAGAATATATAGGAAGAGAACTGTGTAGTATTGTCATTGACCATGGGCTTTGGGAGCTGCAAATGTGCATGTGAGAACTTGTTCAGCTCCGGTGGGTAGGTACACAAAACTGCAGAAAAATTAATGTTGCATGTCTGTCGTGCAGTAGCAGCAAGGTATAAATGGATTATAATCCAGCAAAGCTCTTGACCTCCCAGACATCTGGAGTTCAATTTTAGTAGCAGAGCATAAAATAAAACACTTCAGTAACCAGACACAGACTCAAATTTTCATGGTTGCCAAGGTCGTTCTTCTAAATGCATATAAAATGAACAAAGTGAAGTACCAGCTATAAATACAGTTAAGCGCTTGTCCCTGTTTCCTATCTCAAGCTCATTACAAACAGTTTTTATATGAGATAATACAATGAAATATATGTCAGACACTGTAGTTATAGTGTTTAGTTACTAGGCGTGTATTGAGAAGGGTGTGTTTAATATGAATGTCTCAGCTGAAACAATAGGAGTATTTGGACATGATGTGTCACAGCGGAATCCAGACCTCTGTTTGGTCCCACTTGAATTCCTACATCCGCTCCCATCCATTTACTCCCTCCTATCTTTTGTTTCTTCTTTGTTTCGGTCTCCCATACAAACACACTCCTAAACCCACTAATACACAGTATCCGTAGTCTCTATGCTGAATCACACAGTAGGCCCTGTGTGACTCCATGCAGCCCCAGGTTTTAGTTGTCCACTCACTTCACTTTCTTCATTTTATTTTAAAAGGCTAAGTGGTTGACAGCAGAGAGAAGCCATAAATATAAAGTTGTCGACCTTTGTTTTACTTTAAGATTATTGTGTTGTATAATTTCACAGATGCACTCCCAGTGGTTTAAATGCTGCAAGTATTTGTGGTTTCTCTTGGTGAACCATAGGTCCCTTAATCTCTTGGAAAGCTTACATTGTTGTTGCCTTTCCCACAGTAAGTGCTGAAAAAAAAAACAAGTGGAATGCAAAGGTATAAATATTACTTGCACTATCTGAAGAATACAAAATATATCAAGAGTGCACAAGGGAATCTGCAAACATAAATATTCAGCAAAAATGTGTTATATTTGTAGTTTATGCTTGTTTTCTCTGTAAGCCGCAGTTATCATCAGATGATACTTCCCTGTAACTGAAGACCTACCAGTAAAAAAAGTAAAGTGAGTTTTTGTGGCTTCCCCATTTATATCCCAACTAAAGGGTAACTTGAAGACTTAAAACTAATTCTGGCTCAGATTCAGGGTGTTGACGCCTGGATGGTGAACACTCTATTTACTATTCTGAGAAACTGAGGAGCCGACAGAGAGAAGGGAGGTACACAAGGCAAGGAGATGAGTCAAGTCAAGTAGTAGGCAGAAGGAAGTTAAAGCAACTCGACCTTCAAAATAGAGGCATCTTTTTGTCAGCCATGCCACTGGTAGTTTTTTCTGCCTGATCTGTCTTTGGAACACTTCTAGAACTACAAGAACTGTTACGGAATTAATTTTCTATGTTAGGAGTTGATATACACTTAGCTGTGACAAAGTCACTGCATTTATTAAACTGGAACTTAAATCCACTTACTATAATCCTTTGAAGACAATGATAAAAGTGAATTATGGTAAAAGTTAATTATGTACACTTAATCACTGTACTTCAATCCAAATATAAGGTACTATAACTATTCATTATTTAGGTCCATTTTATTCTACTTTACATTTACTGCACTACATTCCAGTTGTAGACATTATACCATTCTGTTAATGATACTTTAAAAAAAGTTTATTAATTGCTCTTTTGAACATTGATTTAAGTTTTTTTTTTAAAGCAATACATTATTTTTTATTTTTTTTAAAAGCATTCTAATTGTGGTATTATTGTTTTTATTTACTTAGAAAAGGTCCTAAATATCCTTTCCCCTTCTATTTTTACTATTATAATCATTTAGCCTATCACATATTTAGCTTAACATTAACCAAACTGTTATCTTTTGCCGTTATACGTTGAAATACTATAAAAACAGATTTTTTTTAAAAAGGATAGATTAGCCTAAGCCAACGAGTTTTCTTCTGAAAGTTTTACCAGGAAAGCTCGTCGCGTTCATGACATTCGTGCTCTGAGCGCAAGCAGAGCGCATTTGCATTGGCTGGGGGCGTCTGGACTTTACGCAGGCGGACCAAAGTTTGGGGGTTAGTTTTGAGTTTAACTTTCAGAGTCTGCAGTTGCCGTTTGGTCGATCATGTTCAACGAAGAAGGCAGAGGAGAAGCCAGATAGAAAGCCGGACTGGCTGTGACTCCTCTAGGTTAAAGAATGCTTCTGACTTTAATTTACTGACTGGGAATGCACTCCTCCGAGCTGTGGTGGATATATGGTTGACTGAAGATCCCAAAACATTTTTGTTACAGTTATTTCGGTGGAATTAATTCATAACCATTGCGATGGAGAGCCACATGCTGTTGACATGGATGCTGTTGTGTTTGCTCCTGCGGCCGTCGGCTACACAGAACCCCTCATCTGAAGGAGGTGAGCCAAAAAGAATAGAGACGGTATTCATCCAATGGAATACCAATGTAGATATTGTAAGTTTTTAGCATATATAAATCGATTTCATGAGTGAAGGAATAAAACAAAGCAAAGCCAGAAAAATACAAGATAAACTAAAATAAAAATGAATATCTGTAGGATGAATAATCTACTCACAATAACCAGTGATTGCACAACTTTCCCCCAGTTAATATAAAGTGAGCTGTCACATAATATGAGATGCACTGACTTCACTGCTAGGATCCGATGCTGCTGTGGGAGGTGCAGGCACTGTTTGGCTGAGGGTGGATTAGGGTGGGGTTGATGTTACACCCATGTTCTCAGGGAAATGGCATGGGTCCAGGTGCTGCATTATCAGTTGATGAAAATCCACAGCCTGGAGCAGTGAATCCCAAAATGGGAAGAGGGCATGCAGGGACCGTATCGGCATCCTGTGGAGGGCTTCAGGTGCTCCTGTCGGGAGTGTTGGCACGGATTCCCAGATTACTGAAATCTCCTGGCCTTACAGCAGTGTCTACTAAGGGAAGGACAAAGAAGACTCCAGATCAACTACAAAAACATATTTTGATGATGATTTCACTCATTTATTTAATTATCCAATAAGAAAAAAATCGAGAACTAGGATAACCTCTCTGATCTGCTGATCAGAATCAGTATTCCATATACTGTATATAGACTAGAATATAAAAGCTGTACTAATTCTTTGTATGGAAAAAAAATCTTACATTAGAGACTGAGATGGTCCACTGAGAGCCATGTCACTGAATATACTCAGTGTGCTACATATCTTTAAGCTCTAATCAATGACAAATGTTATAAGTTGTTATTACAGCAATGCCTTTATGCCCTGTGAAGCTCATGTGTCTGAGAGGCTAAAGTTGGTGCTGGAGACACCAGTGAGTCTGTTAGTGTGAGCAGATCTTTATGACTGTGATAACATAGTAGTGAGTGACATGCTGCCACTTTGCTATTTCCATTAATAGGGACGTGATGAGACCCAACTTAGCTCACAGTAATTGAGCTTTTTATAAGTGCACTTGCTGTCATCCTTGCTTAATAAAGGTTTTCTTCTGGCAACCTACAACCACAAAAAAAGAAGGTACATGTTGTCTTGTCGGAGTATTTCTGAGCAATTAAACGCTAATTGCGTATCTAAGAGGAACCTTGTCTGTCAGATGCTTAGTAGTTTGACGAATTCTGTTGCTGAAAAATCTACAAGCTCTTGCAACACACTAGTTATTTTATGTGTGTGGTCTTCATATGCATGCAACATTTCTGTAACAGCAGGCTGCATTTAAACAAGCCTTTTAGTGAAGCAGCAATCTCCAGATGTAAACATATGGTTTTTGGATCAAGACATACCGGCACAAAGGTGGAAGACGGGGGCTGTGATATGGAGCAGCCCTCTCGCTCTAAAGTCCAAACAGCATGACAGCGTGATGACGAGAAAGGCTGGGCTCATGTACACTCACTAGCCGCTCTATATTATACAGGTACATCTGTACAATTGCATGCACTTCAGTGCAACACCTCTGCCTTAACATCTGTGTTTATGAATCTCAAAATATTTCAGTTTGTTGTGAAATTGTCAAACATGTCTCTATATTTTTGTCCTCCCCAGGTACATACATGAGAGGGTCAGAACATTAGGAACACCTCTGAATATAATGTAGTCCAGTACAACACCACCTTTAACTATTACCTCAATAATAAACATAACTGAACTTAAACATTTATGACAATTTCACCAAAATGTGAAATATTTTGAGCTTCATAAACACAAATGTTAAGTCGGAAGCGTTGCACTGCATACAACTATCCAGGTGTGACTAATAAAGTGGCTGGTGAGTGTATGTCTGCATGTGAGTGATACATGCCTCGCTTTCAGCACTTATCAACACCTCATCATCCCTTCTTTAAGAAAGAGGCATCCAGAGAAAAAAAGAGTTTCCAAAGATGTCAGGGCGTCTGTGTTGGTGCCTGTACAGTAATTGCAGCAGAGTAATCCAGAGGCAATCTAAGATAGTCATCTCTCACTGTATCTGCCTCTGACATGTTTATTTTGCTTATCTCTTTAACCCTTGCTCTGAGACTTTAACTGTAAGAGGTCTTAAAGACTGCTTTTATATCATGTCTCTATTCCTGCTCCTTCTTTCTTTCTTGCTCTCGCTGCAAGAACAACCCCAGGTTTCTTTTCAGCACTGTAGCCAGGCTGACAAAGAGCCACAGTGCTGTTGAGCTTAACATTCCCTGAGATCTCAGCAGCAATGACTTCATGAGCTTCTTTACAAATAAAATCACAACTATTAGAGAAAAAATTGGTCGGACCACTCCCACAGCTCT